ACAGGTTTGTAAAACCTGATAAAAAAATGAGAATGGGACAAAACCTAAATTGTATTTTTATATTACTATTAGACTGTAGGGGATCAGAAAAGAGTCAAAAAGTGATGACAAATGAGGTAAAACATTCAACATAATCAACATGTCATCATTAAAAAAACTATTTCAACATTGAGTGAAACAGGGTTGAAGGGTTTTCCTTCATTCATTCATTCTTGCCTGCTGCTAAAGGACCTATCTCACAAACAACCAGATTTCACTTTATTTAATTTTTTTATATTTTGAATAAAATAGCTCACACTTAGCCATTTCTCAATGTAAGCTGATCTCAGTGTAAAACACTTACATGCAAAGTCAACACCCAAAGGAATGTAATGTTCGAAAATGCCTGAAATAATGTAATGAGAGAGAAACAAATAACATTGTTCTGTCAGACACAACAATAACAAAAAAAAAAAATTGTTTGAGCCTTGGTTCTGTCATCTTCGATAGATAGATTATCCCCCTATAAGTAATAAGGATATTGTTAACATTTGATCCACCTTTTATAATCAATCAGATTGTTGTGAACTTTTTAAATTAAATCACAATTTTTWAATTCAAAATCTGTAAAAGTTGGATGGCTCAATCAGCTCCAGTTCATTGTTACTCCACTTATGGGCTCTTGATTGCTTCGTACAAATGTTTAAAACAAATACAGATGAATGATCAGCTTTTAACACATATCCTCAGGTTACCCCTGGTTGTGTGGTCTGGCCTCAAACAACCAAAYATGTTGTTTAGAAGAACGACATGAGACGCAGCTGAACAATTCTTACCATCGTATATTTTCTGTTCCAACATGCTTCAAACGCACTGAGAAGCTGTTGTAAATATAATAAACATCAATGTTCAAGTTTGTCTGTTTTCTTCACATAGACCCTTAATCTTTAGAAATGAGTCACTTTTCATTGACTTTTTGTGGTTAAATAAGTATTYAAACAATGTGAACTCCCTTTCCTGACCAACACATCTAAATGGGGATCTCTCACTTTAACGTCTGCTATGAGAAGAGAGAGAGAAAAAATAGTGAATTCACAATGTCCATATTTGGTATGGCAAACTGCTAATCCTTCCACACAAGCATCCACTGAAGCCCTGTCTGATCTGTGGACAACACTGACATCTGCTGGCAAGAATGCAGAACAGTTTCTGTCTAATTGTTTCTCTGGTTTACAAACTTTCCATCTTTTGACCCACAAAATAAAAGTGGTAGAGGCTTGTGACCCCAACTATAACTGCTTCATGTTACCAGTAATCCTAATAAACGAGGTCATTGTGACAAATAAACAGCTTAAATTACTATAGGAGTACTTTTTATTACATGCTGCCATGAAAGATGTGTCACTGCATGTTGCCTGTCTGTTAGCAAAATATCTCATGAACCACTGAATAGATTGTGATGAAACACTCAGAAAGTAATAATTAGATGTGCATCAAAAGCAGATAAGCTTTTAGAGTCAACTCAAATTAAAATGGCTGCCACAGCTAATCAAATTTTGTGACTACAAAAATACCTCGAACTCATTCAAATGTGCAGAAATCAAGCTAAAATTTAGCGTCAAAATAGCTGAAACTCCTTTTCAACACACACTTCAAATGTTCACAGGTTGAGAAAGAAGTTTGTTTAAAACTTGATGATGACATCAACCTCGTCTATCTGTTTTTTTTTGCCACTTCAGTAGAAAGCAGAACTGAATTTTAGTTTCTTAACTCCTTCATCTTCAGTGACTTATTTTTTAAGAAGAAAAATTAAGAGAAGAAAAAAATAGTGAAATATAGGAAAGAGTGAAAGAGATATTAGAATATGTGTGAAATATATATGGAGAAAACACAAGACAACACACCTGACATCTTGGCTGCACACTTACAGAAACAGAGATAACAAAAACACAGCAACAAAAAGGCATATCTATATAATTATGATTATAGCCTTGCAAGCCCATGCAAGCCATACATAAAGTAAACCAGAAAAAAAAAAATACAAATTCATTGTACTGGTTGTTTAAAACTCTTTATTTTTAGTGAATACAAAAAATACTCTTGTGACCAGATAAATATTGTACATACAGCATCAAATCATGAAACTAACGCAGTCTTGTCAAAGAAAGCACAACACTGATTTTGAACAGCCCGTAACTCTTATTCCTTCTTCTTCTCCTTTTTTTTTGGTTGTTTTATTTGTTAAAACTCCAACAGATCAGTAAGACAGGATATGTTAGGTTAATTCTTACAGTTAGAGAATAAAAACTTTTTAATAGTGGTTAAACAACGCGTCAAGGATGTTATTCAGCTCAACATTTCACAGGGATTCGAAGAATTCGAGCCATTTTCTCAGCTTTGGAGACAAATTGCCACATGCTGACTGAATGCAGTCTAGTGCTAGTGTCTAAATCCTAAAGTATCCACATAGATGCCCTTTTTTATCATCAGCAGTATAACACCGACCACAGGCAGGACACCAGCCAAGGCATTATGCTGTATGGCAAAGAGGTTGGCTTTAAGACCCTCCCYGATTAGATTGGCATAAYGTTTGATYCAGGCAGGACAAAGCCCCGCCCCACCGCGAGCACTCTGATCTCCAGCTGCTGCAGGGTACACTCCAGTAAGGCACAATGAAGATCAGACACTGCTGTGGACAGACTGAGGAGACGAGCCRTGAACCTTTTTAAATATATTATTGATTATTATAGCACAGAAAAAAAAATAAGTTCCTCAATTAGAGCATGAAGCTGTTTCCTTGTTCTTCATTCGGACACATTTCCTCTAAACCGCCATCTTCAGGACGAGAAATATGAGGGTGWTCAGAGCATAATGTGTATTCTCATTATCAGTCCAGAGCCCGGAGCCCAATATCATTGCACACAACTCATTATCTAACCAATGACAGAGTGTACTTGCATTATGTCGCTAGAATATTCAGTGTAATATTACAGTTGAATGTGAAACGGCGACCAAGGCAGTGACTGGTGGGAAATAACTGAATGTGAGCGTGTTCCTGTACATAAGTGCAGAAATGAAAAGTGGCTGATGGTTATGGATTAAAACACAAAGACCAAAACAAAAAATAAAGTAAATTAAAAAAAAAAAATAAAAAAATATTTCAAGATAATAGTATATGACCAGTTTTCTGTATTCTGAAACTGGTGGGAGA